ACTAAGTAAATTACTTTTCCTAAGCTGATTAAAATATCACTTTACTCTATTCAACTACCTTTCCTATATTTCTGAAGTACCAGCCTCCTTATATTAACTTTTCTTCTGAGAGCAAACTACGATGACTGTCTCATAAACACGTTAAAGCTTTGTTTCTCACTGTCATTATATGTGCTTTCTGTTACTAAACAGTTCCTTGAGTTTGGAGGCTACGTGGCTACAAGGACTGCATAAGATTCCAGACTCTTCTAGATGGAGACCAGGCCTTGGAGCAAATGAAGCCAGGGCCAAAGTCTGGCTCTACTCAGCAGGGCTCAAGAGGGAGTATTTACCATTCCAGTGTTGGGGTCAAAACTATCACTGCATTCTGGAACTAGAATTCAGGACCTGATTACCTTTAGAAAGAGTCAAAGATACTTCTAAATCAATTCACATTAAATTGCATAAGAAATTTCTAAACACATAGCAGCCAGAATGATTCTGAAAAGTTTTCTAAAGCCCTCAAATAAACACTGACTAAACTCCCTTTTCTGGAGAAGGTAATTATGGTTGGTAAAATAAAGTGTCAGTGAAAAAGAGGAAGACCCTCAATGATATGGATTGACACAGTGGGTGCAGCAATGGACTCAAACTTAACATTTGAGGATGGCATAGAACCGTGCAGTGTATTGTTCATTTGTACATAGGGTCATTATGAATTGGAACCAATGGCGACAGGACCTAACAACAACATCAAACATACTGTTCAGTCAATGGAGTCGAAAGTTTCTTGGAATAGTTCTAACACTATAAAAGACAAACAGAAAGCTTTCTTTGCCATCATGTGACTGCTGCTACGGTCCATCTTCACTATGTCTTCTCGTAAGACTTTCAGGATCAAGAGACGCCTGGCTATGAAACAAAAGCAGAACCGTCCCATTCCCCAATGGATTCGAATGAAAACTGGTCATAAAGTCAGATACAACTCCAAGAGAAGACACAGGAGAAGATCCAAGCTGGGTCTCTAAAGAGTCGCTCATGTGATGACGCAGCACATAATGTACCCAGGTCCTAGCACCCTACCGTATCAAGTTCAATTTTGCCAAGATTTGATCAACTAAACATGTTTGGCAAAACTTCTGGTTTCTTCCTTTATTTTTATGCTTCTGCATTTAAAGATGTTGGTTAAGAAATATGTGAGACCTTTGGTTTGGGGAAAAAAAAAAAAAGGCATGCAGAAAAAAAAATATTAAAAGGCAGGGGGGTATTGTATCATTTTCCCATGTAGCTTTTGTGGGAATCACATTTTATTTACACTTTATCAAATTGTCTTAATATGTAAATCGCTTTATTGGATGGAAAAGAATTTATATATATGAAGCTATGTAACATCAACAGTAAAAATGTGAACTTTGAAGAACATGACACACAAAAAATTAATAGTTTACCATATAAAGAGTATTCAAAAACACAACGCTTATCTTACTATGGAGTGTATAATGAAGAAACAAGCAATGATTGAACTGTTTACTAGATTAAGTGACAAGTTAAGGGAAAATTAAACAATGCATCAAAAACATTTTTAAAGATCTGTTCTATTATTTTTAATGAACCATGTTAAGTATTTTTACAAATCTTCAGATTGTTAGTTTTTAATAGTAAATATAGTAGCAAATACAGTGAAATGAGATTCTTTAGACAAAAGAATATAAAACAGAAACCTGGAAGCAAAAGGGCAAAATGTCAATTGTAGGTGTGAGCTGGAAACTAATACGGTCAAATCCTTTAGGATGCTGGCATATGGGAAATTATCTTATAAATTAACTCTAAGCTTCAACTTTCTATGGTTGAGTAATGAGGGAGAACTTGACTCTCAGATCTCTAAAATCCTATATTTTGATACCAGAGGATTCCAACACAAAAAAAAGTGATCTGGAAATGATTGCCAAAGCAAAGTACTTTTATTCCTCAACATTTGTGATCTGTGTTGTACACTGTATATTACAAATGGGCTTAATCCCTATACAACTGTATTAATGTCATAAAAATGGATTTTATAAAGTCTCAAGATCATAATATGTATTCCAAAATACATATAACTGTGCTTTAGTAAACGAATCCATCATTACTGAGGGATGATTTTAAGTTATCCAAAGTCTATACAACGGATCCACAAATGTTACCAATCTGTGACCAAAATTATCTAAGTTTACATTTGCAAAAAACTGTGTTGGTTTTCATTTTAAAAATTTAAGAAAGTTGTGAATATTGTTGGTTTATCATCACTTGAATTAAGAAAAAGTGCATGGCTTCAACTTCTAACAGGAAATTTGTGGACCACTCAGAAATGAGAAGTTCCACGGTTTTACTTATTAGAAAGGACAAATTGTCTATAATTCCCAGTTGAGAATAGAATGTGCAGTGTATAAAAAATAAGGTTTTAATCTGAAACCAACTAAGTATTTCTGAAAAGCCCTTGGGATGCATCTCTTCATTTTCCTTCCATAAGATGAATAAAATAAGTGGCATACTTGAATGGTATACATTTATGTCATTATGTATATTCCATTATCAAACTGAAAGATGAAACAGTCTTACTTAAATGTGGGGAAAAGATACATTTTTAAAAACTGAAGAGGTGCAACATTTTACTGTATACATTTTAACTTCACTCCAATATAACTTACTAATATGCATTGAATTTTTAAAAAATGATAAGCACACACAAGAGATAAACATTACTTACATGCAAATTTCATTGTTCCAACATGAAACACTAGGTCTATACCTTTTTAATAAAAACTGCACATCTGTTTAATTTAACTAACAGAAAATATACACTTAAGAAAGATGTCATTATATCCTTCTAATAAAGCAAATCTATATCAAAGGCACTTCAGCAGAGCAATTCACTCCTTAACCTTTTCCAAATAATTTTATGACACTTTTAATGTATCTTTCTGTACAAGACCAATAAGAAGCCTCCTCTAATTGTGGGTCTTATTATTAAAAAAATAATAATAAAATAAAAGACTAAGTTCCAACCAAAACATTTATCTCTTCTGTGCTGTAAACTAGCATAGCAAACTTATGCCTAGATTTTAAATTCTTTGGGTTAATACAGAGAAGTTGGAGTGTTATCTGTCAGTTTAGATGTTTCAGAATGACTAACAGGAAAAAACTGGCTGAAGTCTACTGTCTTGGGAAAAAAAAGTTGTTGTCTTCCATTGTCTACCTACCTACAATTTTATTAACACTCATTTTGGTTCTTTGAATTTGTGTAGATTGGATCTCTGTACTGCTCCCAGGTTGACTAGTAAGAGATGAAAAATAAAGCAATTTAGTTTCATTGTTTTCCTGAGGAAAGGGGCAGTCACTTCAGACATTTTGCTTTCATAAAAATGTTAAGAAAACAGAATGAAATGATTTTATCTAACAAAGATATTTTTACAATAAAATACTTAAAAGTTTAAATTGAAAAAAAAAACAGCTGTTGAATGTGCTCACTCTAAATTCTTAGCAGTGACTTAAAGAATATGTATATATTCTAAAACTGAAAATAAAAAAGTTATAAAGGCTGAAAATAATTTAAGGAAAAATGTCTGCTTTTCCCATGAAACCAAAGCTGTTGTCCTCAAACATCTTTCATGAGTGTCAACTGGAAACGTAGTATTTGAGTACACACCTAATCTCCTGAAGTTATTTCTAAGCCTCAGGAAAATGTCATTTCTTTTTTTCTGTTGTAGTTGAAAATACTTCAGGAAAAACAAAAAAGTGAAAGGTGTATTTCCTTTACCTACAGTTTTTATTAAATTTTTGGTATTCACAAACCTAACAGACTTTTGTAAAAATTAATTTTGATAGTCATTAAGTGGTTGTTCAGGTGTTTCGAATATAAGAAACAATCTTGAAACTGATATGTAGCATCGATGTATCAGTTAGCTTTAAGTCACTTTCCCCCCTAGAGGATAAAAGGCTTTCCTTGAAACGACTGGCTCACTTCATTTTATAGGCAGGCAATAAAAAAACAAATTAAAAATAAAAATTGAATATCAGAGTATTAATTTTTCTGATTTCTAAATGACAAATTAACACTATTACTTATTATGTGAAGTTACATATAAAGATAACCAAAGAGCTGGCATATTTTCTCTTAACTACCAAGTTGTTTCTTGCTTATCTTTTATGAACTAAGTATGGGACTTTAGTGGGTGATGCAACACACATATTATTTATCACAAAAGAAAAGTAAATGTTGTTTGGTCATTGTATTCTAGAATTACATCAGTCCAGAACATTTATCAAGTTATCTTCAAATATAGGAAGAGAAGAACGTAATAGTGACATTTCACAAGAATATGATGTCTGAAGACAGGCTTCATTTTCAAATGCTTCACCGGGGTAGGCATCACAGTAGAGGCAACACTTCAGGAAGCAACTTTAAGAATACATGTGCTATTATGTTGTTCTCAAGAGTTGTTGTTAAGGGTCATCAAGTTGGTTCCACCTCACAGTGAGCCTGTATAGGGTTTCCAAGCTTTGTAAATCTTCATGGGAGCAGAAAGCTTCATCTTTCTCCAGCACACTGTTCTTAAGAGAGTGGGATCCAAATTGACAGATTGAGCAACATTTTCAGAAAATATCTTGAGGCTATTTCGTATTTTGAAAACCTGGATAGTTCAAACTCATCACCCAAAAATAGAATTTTATTTCCGATTCATAGTGACTGTGTATAGGGTTTCCAAGGAACAGCTGATAGGGCTGAACCACCAACCTTGCAGTTAGCAGTCCAATGCTTAACCTACAATGCCACATCAGAACTTCAATGAATAGAATAGGCCAGAACAAAAATTCCTCAGTATCCTTCTGATTACTGCAATGGTCATTTTACTCTGCTTGAGGCATGTCCAGAGGCCATGAGATTGCTCAGTCTCAACTTCCTAAACAGTTCATACTGCCATTTACAAGAAGAGGCATAAATAAACAACACAGACACACCAGAGACACAACCACCCTTGATGTTAATTTAGGGGAATTAGTGGGCGTTCTTCTCGCTTCTTCCAGATATTAGTCTTGCTATCTCTTTTGGCTAGTGGTGATCTTCCCCTTTTTTTGGTGGGGGATGTACTGGCTTCAAAATCTTCAATAGTGCTTTTTCTTCCTGGAGATTCTTCTACAGGGTGTTCCATGATAGCTCCACTACCTCCATCTAGTATGTGCCTTAAAGTGGGGTCTTCAGGGGAGCAAACAGTGGTTCCACTCTCACTACTGCTGAGGTCTAAATCTTCTAAGTAAAGAATCTTCGGTTGATGCATGCTTTTGATAAAGGTTTTCTCTCTCTCAAGCTTTCTACTTGAGTGATGCTCATTCATGTCCACTCCAGAGTCCAGACTTGTGTCATTGCTCTGTGTTCTCTTGCCCTTTTTCAGGTCTATGAAAGAATGTCTCACTTGGGCAACTGGCTTTCCATCGAGAGAAACAAACCAGGCTCTGGGATGAGGGGAGGGTTTCCCTTTGGACAGCTCCAGGAGGGTCTGTTCTGATATGCCTTGGAGTTCTGATGAAAATGGAGTCATGACAACAGCTTCATTCAGGGTTCCAGGAACTGACACAGATTCTAGTAAGCTAGTAGAATACCGGCTCCAATCAGATGTCTGGGATGGCAAGCTCTGCTGACCTTCGAGTACAATATTCTCTTCCCTGGCATCTGGGGGCTGTACATGAGAATGCATTGGCATTTTCGGCAAGGTCTGTGTAAAGTTTTCTCTGTTTACTGGTTCCATCAATTGGCCATACACTATCTGTCCCTTTCTTGGCAAAGTAGCTGACTTAGCAGTATGTAACTGCTCAGGAGTGGAGAAAAGATCAGATGTTTGAAGGATGGCAATGGGCTGACTGTAGATATGCATAAGCTGTTCAGGAATGTGGGATCGCCCATATACCTCTTCATTACCTGTGAGATACCTCTTTTCCTCTTGAGCATCACCTAGAGATGGAGACAGACTGTGAATATGTTTTGGTTGCTTAGATCCAATATTGGGCTCCAAAGACTGGGATTGATTTCTTGAGTAATTACTTGGATTGATTGATAGAAATGATACATCTTCATTATAGATTTTAAAATTGTCCCGAGTTTTAACCATGGAAACTCTTTCTTCTGCTTCTGCCTTTTGTGGTTCCTTTTTCTGAGGGTTGTACGAAGAGTTTTTGGCATTGAATAACTGTGACCGATCTTGAGCTGTTAACGCAACTTTGACTGAACTAATGTGGTTTATATGTGTTGTTGAAGTTGTTTGGTCTCTTTTCAGGACCTCAAGTTTAGTGATACTTCTTTCTCTTTTCTGTGGAGTACCACATTTATCCCTAGAGTACAAGATCAGACAAAAAAGTGTTTGAAAGGTAAACTCATTCAATAAATCACCCCATAATATATGTACCACAACAAACAAACAAACAACAATAAAAACTCCTACTGTTATCAAGTAGATTCTGCCTCATAGCAATCCTGTATAGGGTTTTGGAGATTGCAAATCTTTAAAGGAATCAGAAAGCCTCATTTTTCTCTGCAGAGTGGCTAGTGGGTTTGAACCGCCAACCTTATGGCTAACAGCTCAGTGCTTAATCTTTAGTGCCACCAGCGCTCCTTATATGCACCATATGAGTAATGCTAATATTAGAATATATCCATTTAAGTTTTAAATCTACATATTTTAAAGATCAAACAATTGATTTCCACAAATAAACTTTGAATTAACAGAGTCTACTGGAAGTGGTTATGAATCAGGCAGCTAATCTCAGGGTCAGCAGTTCAAAACTACCTGCTGTTCCATGGGAGAAAGATGAGGCTTTCTGCTCCCGTAAAGATTTACAGCCTTGGAAACCCTGTACATGGTTGCTATGAGTCAGAACCGATTCCACCGCTCATAACCACCACCACTACCACTGGAATATTATGCTATGATAATTTTCTACGTTTATACATAATGCTGAATATTTTTCTTACCTACAATAACAAAGAAGTACAGCAAAAAATCCAATGACAATGACTACAGTTCCCCCCAATATGGCTGTCAGAAACACTGTGTGATAGGCAGTAATGTCCTTGGAACCTTCATTTATACCTAAAGAGTTCAATGTAAAGAAACAACAATAAATAAATTAAAAAGACAATATAATTTCAGATCAAATTTCCAACTCTGTCATAATCTAAATGTTGTTGTTGTTAAGTGCTATCAGGTAAGTTCCAAAGAGTGTCTGGTAGATTTGAACCACCAACCTTGTGTTTGGTAGTTCAGGGCATATATAGAGCCACCATACTCCTGTCCAGGGACATTAGAGATCACCATATCCAACTCCTCCAATTTAGAAACAAGAAAAGCAAGACCCATATAGAAGCAAATACCTACTTCAGGGTCATTCAGCTAGTAGCAAAGCTAGAGCTATAATCAAATTATGCATACTTTTATTGTAGTATTTTTTTGTCTGTGACATACTCACAGAATAGATTTATTTTTAAAACATCACTAGAAGGTGTATGTTGTGAAGTGCCCTTGAGTTGATTCCGACCCATAGTGACCCTGTATAGGGTTTCCGAGGAGCAGCTGGTGAGCTTGAACTGTCGACCTTGCAGTTCAAACTGCTTCGCAGTCTGGCACATTAACCCACAATGCCACACCAGGACAGGTGTATAATGTAAACTAAATGGTAATCTCACCTTCTATTTTAGAACTCCACACACATTATTTTCCAACAGATATGTTGAAACAGAATTTTTATCTAGTTTATAGAATTCAAATGCTCCTTATGCTATTTTTATTAAAAATTAAATATCTTGGGTTTAGCTAAAATTGAAGTATTAAATTAAATATTAATTATTCTTTTTCATCAATATTGCAGTACTGTTGCAAATATAGAATGGGATAAGGCCAGACAGCTGGCAAGAATGCATGCTATTTTGTATCATGAATAACAAAAAATAATTACACTCCGATTTCTGAATACATCATCTCTTAAGCATGAAGTCCAAATAGAAACAAAAAGAATACCTCTCTTGATCATATATGGCTAATGGTTCATATTGTTTCTACTGGGATACTAAATTTTGGTTTCCATGAAAAGAGTTTTTGTACTTTCTAGAGCTAACATTAAAGCATAAAATAACAACTGTGAACATAAAATAACAATAAAATTCAAGCTGGATTAGAAACAAAACAAAATGCTTTCTCAGAAAAGAAACTTCAGAGAAATAGAGAGCCAAAGACAGTTTTATATTATGGAATGCTACAAAGTAATATATGTAAAATGTCATCCACATCTTGGATCAGGGTGTACACTGGGACTGTTTCTGATTATCATGAAATAATCAGGTAGCAGCCACCTTTCAGATTTCAGTCAAGACACTAGATAAACCAAAAGAATCATCACGTGGTTAAAGACGAAGAATGACACATGCACTTAAGAATCACTCTCCCAAAACCTCATTAAAATGATATAAATTTTGCTTCGTTTTGTTTCTGTAAACACACAAACACACAAAGGCAAAGGAGAATGAGATAAGAAACAAAGCACCAAAATAAGTGAATGTCAGAAAGTTGATTTAACAAAGCTGGTAAAGAAGAAAACCAACAAGCAGCTAGGAGCTCTGGTAGCATAGTGGTTACGAATCAGGCTGCGAACCGCAAGGTCAGCAGTTCGAAACTACCAGCTGCTCCGCGGGAGAAAGATGAGGTGTTTTGCTCCCATAAAGATTAACAGCCTCGGAAACCCTGTGCAGGGTTGTTATGAGTCGGAACCGACTCCACGGCACATAACAACAACAACATATACCAGAGAACATGCAATCCGTCCACAAAGTGGTTACAGTAGGGTCCTCAAGAAGTGAAAACAGGGCGTAAAAGAAGAGAACTGGCTGACAATCTAAGAGACATTTTCAGATCCCCACTGGAAATTATGCATAGTAAGCAAATTCCCCTCCACAATTCTGGTAAATGACTTTTAGATTTAACCTCTCTGGAGAAGGTTAAGAGCTAGGAAGAGATGAAGAGACAGACCCTGTATTGAAGAACAAAGCCTTAGTTAACAGTTTACCATACTGAACGTTCAGGTATGATCACTAGCCTTCTTGTGACATGGGGCAGAGCTGCCTCTGGGGAATCCCCCTAGTCCATCAGAAAAAAAAAATACCTACATCAAAGTATCACAAACAAAAAAGGGCCCAATCAGAATGCATCTATTTAGATTATTTAAAATTTTTTAAAAAATCATTTCCTTCAGTTTTACAATACCTCTAGTTCCTGGAAGTGGAGCTGCTATCCAGTAGCCTAAATGTGGTGCGTCATATGTCCAAATTAAATGGTTGTTATAGTTCTTGACTATACCTTGGCCGTGATTTATCCAAGCACCTAAGAAGGAAAAAAAAATATCAATAATTCATTAAAGTTTATGCATTTTAAAGCTGAAGAGCTTGCTGATACTCATACATAGAATGCATAATTTTTTCAAAGATTACAAAGCTATGTCAGTATTCCACCATGGAATAATGCTGTAGTTAAGTGTCACTGAGTTGGTTCTGACTCATAGTGACCCTATATAGGGTTTCCAAGGAGTGACTGGTGATCTTAAACTACCAACCCTGCGGTTCAAACTGACTTTGCAGTCCAGCACATTAAATTGCAGTGCCGTACCCTAACTGCACCATGGAATAATATATATGGCATATTGTATATATATAATAATGTGCCAAATAAAATAACTTGAATAATTGTTATGGGCAAAGGAAATAAAATCATCATAAACTAAGGCTTCAGGTATACTTAGAGAAATCATACCTTTTATGCAAATCAACATAATAAAACTATATAAATGTTTATTGTATATTTGCATTTAGCTTATTAATTTGCTGCAGTGACTTATCTATGATGTATAAACTAGTGCTTCAATAGGTGGAAAAATTTTAATGATGAGAACCAGTCAATCTATTGCTTTCAAATAGTTACATAAAAATTAAGTGTTGCCAGATGTGATAAATTCACTCACAACTTTTGTCACTGGAAGGTACATTAATCACAGAGGTCTTTGTCAGGAAGCGCAATCAGCAATCAGGCATAAATCAGAGTAGTTACTTGTCTTTAAAGTGCTTTAGGTAACTGATTCAACAGATTAGGAAACTGCAGTCCAAACAAGTTAAGTGACTTGTTCACACTCACACTGATGACTAAATTCCAAATCTTAGAGCTCTTAGCCTAATTACTGTATATCCAACAACACACTACCTTTGTAACTGATACTATTTCCAATTTTTCTTTAAAACAGCAACATGTACTGCTTACCTTCTAGAGTAGATATTTGGATGTCTTCTTTGGCCCCAAATACCCATTCTTCTACATTCCCCGAATGGAATTTAAATAAATAATGTTAATCTTTGACATCAGATAATGGGCATCCTAGTTCCCCAGTTATATAGGTGAGGCCAATTTTGGTCATTAACAAAATGCTTGAAATTGTAATGTTATTGAAAAGTGTACGTAAGTAGAGTATTTAAAATATTCAGAATATTTTCACCTCACTCACATACCCAAGCTCATATCAAATGTCCAAGCAGGTACATGATCCCCCGCATTTATAACATTTGTATGAAGAAGGGGCAGAGAAATCTGAATAGAGCCGTCCACCTTTAATTCTTTTCCTCCCGAATATATTTTCACACATATTGCAGAAAGAGGAGTCAATTCAACGCTTTTTAAACCTGAAAAAAGGAGACATTTTATTAAAATCAAATGTAAAAACAGGTTATCGTTACATGTTGTTGGATGTCATCAAGTCAACTCCAGCTCATAGCGATCCCGTGTGATAGAGTGAAACTGCCTCCGAGGGTTTTCTAAGCTCTAATCCTTAAGGAGCAGATAGGTATTTCTCCTACAGAGCATGAAATAATGGTTTAAAGGCAAATCATTTACTTGATAGGTAATATCAGGAAGCACCTATCACTAAAATAGTGAAGAAGTAACAGAGAAGGAGAAGCTAACACAAAACGATTACGGAGCAACTCTAGCTCAGTCCCACTGATGACCTCTGAGAGTGTCTACAGAATGTGGTGCACAGTTGTCCGAGTCAAGGCTGGAAACCTGGGGTCTTTTAGGTACCAACATTGATTCATCATTGGTGGAGGACTCCGGCAAAGTCATAAATACAGGAGCAGGAAACAGGCTTAAAAGTGAACAGTGAAGCTAGGCCACTCACAGCTCAACTACAGCAGGTTAAAAAAAAAAAAAAAGGCTCATCTTATTTACCAAAGGCTTCTGTGGGGAATGGGAATGGGAATGGGAATGGGAATGGGAATGGGAATGGGAATGGGTAGCATTTGGCTGCTAACCAAAAGATTGATGGAGTCCACCCACAGATGCCTTTGAATAAAACATCAGCCACTGATAACCCTACAGAGCAGAGGTCTACTTGGACACCCATGGGGTTGCCATGAGTTTGGAATCAATTTAATGGAAATTGGTTTTTATCTTATCAAAATATGTATTTGTCTCTATCACTGTGATTTCTGACTGCTGCTCAAATGAAAGGAACACCACCACCTCTGTCTGCCTGCCTACCCCCCCAAAAAAAATCAGACACAAATGAAATCATCAGATTACAAATTACCTGAGGCAATTTTTTTTTTTTTTAAGATGGAGTTTCAGGCATGTTGCAACGAGTAGTTGAAATGGTGGAACAAGTGTATATAGACAGAAGGGAGCATAGAGTATTTTTAAAGGGATATTCATGGGTGCACTGTCAAAATTCCTCCATCCCCTTACCTTCCAGATCATGACAGCTCTATATTAACCTATTAGAGCTGTTTGCTGCAGTACAGAGGCAATCTCAATACTGATGGAGAATAGTAAATATATGTGAAAAGAAAATTTTACAGTCAACTCCCATTTTAGTGATCTTTTGAGAATTTTCAAAAATTGCATTAAATATATGTAACATAACATTTTTCATTTTCACAATTTTGAGTGTATATTTCAGTGTCATATTCAAGGACTCCTAGTGTGACACTGTAGGATCAGCACTAGATTGTGAATCACAGGTCGACAGTTGAAATTTACCAGCTGCCCCTCAGAAACCCTATACAGGGTCACTATGAGTCGGAACTGACTTGATGGCACTTAACAACATAGTCCTCTTTTGAGAATTTTCAAAATTTGTGTTAGATACATATATAATAAAAGTTGTCATTTTAAGTGTTTATTTCAATGTCATATTTAAGGACTGGTGTGGCGCTGTAGGATCAAATCACAAGGTCAGCAGTTCAAATCCACCACTGCTCCTCAAAACTCTATACAGGGTCACTGTGAGTCAGAACCAATTCCACGGCACTTCACAACAAAAATTATATTCAAAATGTTGTCCAGCTATTACCACTGTGTAGTTCCAATGTTTTTTCACTTTTCAAAGGTAACATGCCCTTTAACACGTAACTGAATATTGAATATCTAAACAAGTAGTATTTAGTGAAAGATTTATGTACTGATGCTTCTTATAAATGAAATCACATTATGTAAAAATTATATAATACCTGATTTATTGAAAGCAATTCCAGTAGTATACAGAAAATTGTCCACTTTCAAAAACTGTTGTAGGACTGTAAGGTAGCCTGTAACATTGCTAATATGATGGCTGTCAGGGAGTTTGATTAAGGCTTTTGAAAACTGAACACTTGGTTGAGATTTGGCATCTAGAAAAAGGAAAATCCAATAGATAAATAGGCAATGCTACTGCATATTAGAATAGATAACATCATTGATCAGAGTATTTTACTTTTAAAAAGCAGTTGTAATTATCTCTAAACATAATTCACATTTTTTAAGAAAATTATTATTTGAGATTCAAAACTGACTATAATAAGAAATCTCCTTTTTTTTTTTTTTTAATCACACACAGACTGCCTTTGGAGTCCTGGTGTGGCACTGCAGAAGAATGCACTAGACTGCAGGATCAGTTTGAACTAAAAGGTGGGCAGTTCACACTCACCCGTTACTCCTCAAAAACCCTATACAGCGACTCTATGAGTTGGCACTAACTCGACAGCACTTAATAACAATTTGTTGTTGTTGTTATGTGCCGTGGAGTCGGTTCCGACTCATAGCGACCCTGCACAGGGTTTCCGAGGCTGTTAATCTTTACGGGAGCAGAATGCCTCATCTTTCTCCCGCGGAACCGCTGGTAGTTTCGAACTGCTGACCTTACGGTTCGCAGCCCAATTCGTAACCACTATGATAATAACAATACTGTCCAGTATTTCTTCATCCTAATTTAATTTATGGGGAGTGGAGAGTGAAGTAGAGGTGAAATTACCATCTTCATTGCTGGTAAAATTGAACTGGAAGACTTGTAACTTAATTAAGTATTTATGCAAAATAAAGCTTTCTTATTCCCCATCTTCAGGTTTGCAGGAAGGACAAGTCAGTTCTGCGTAGCAGAGAAGAAACTACCCAGTTTTCAAGCCTCTGGTAGAGACGACAAGGTTAGTGCTGACTGCAGGAGTGGAGGTAAAATGCAAATTAGAGCCCAGAAGGTCCAGAGTGGTGGGCGTTCATTCCTTTTCCCAATCTCTCCAACCACTAATATCCCCAGAGGAAAAGTGAAAGATGTGATTTACAATAAAAGAAGATGTCTTTCTACTGTTTCAGAAAAACAAATGCTCCCATTTTGTGGGTGAAAAGAGTAAATGAAAAAATTATTTCTCTTATACAGGAAACTCATACAGTGGTTTCACAATGAAATAATTAATTAATAATCCTGAACAATTAAATTTCTCCCAAGTTACAATCAACACAGATTCATTAGTGAGCTGAAGTTATGTAATAAGCACTTTAAATAATATCAGAGAAGTGTTAAACTTACCAGCTAATTTTCCAGTAATTAAAACAGTATCTTCAAATAGCCATATATTTGCTTGGCTTTGCGGGAACAGTGAAAGTGTAACTGATGAATATACTGTGAAATACAGCACAATTAGAATATTTTATTAAATGTGGAAGGGAAAAAACATGAGTTAAATATAATTCTGTCCCAACACATCCTGAAAAGTGGGAAAAAGCAAACTGTGATGGAAAGAACAACTCAAAAGACCAGAAGAAATGGCGGCACCAATGAAGAATGTAATCATAATCATCACATTGTAAATTTAGAATCCGCTGTTTGGCATGCATTATTTCACAATTTCAAAAATTAATAATAATAATAAAAAGAATGTAAAAACATGATAGAGGGAAAAAAGAGTTCCAATAAAATACAGATTCTCTACTGTATTTTACTAGTATTTTTAATTTTCCTTTTCTTCATCAGGCTGTTGTTACTGTATACCAGGAGCACTGCACAGCTTCCTAGACAGGTCTCCTGAATTCATATTATTAGCCCTACTTCTGACCTATTCTTTACACACAACTGAGTAAATCCCATTTCCAATCAGCTAATTTTTACTGTGATCAATAATCAAAATGGCATATCAGACAAGGGGACTAACCTCTCGAATTAACAGAAAACATCAACATCTTAACAACAACAACAAAAGACAAATAATCCACTTAAAAAATGAGCAGAGGGCATGAACAGACATTTTACCAAAGAAGACCTTGAGGCGGCCAATAAACATGAAGAAATGCTTGTGATCATTAGCCAACAAAGACACAAATCAAAACACCAAGCTATCATCTCATTCCAGCATTAATTATGAAATTCATAGAAACAGAAAACAACAAATGCTAGTGAAGATGTGGAGAGAATGGGACCCTCCTACACTAGCGGGGGTATTGTAAAATGGTGCAACTACTGTGGAAAGTATAATGCTTTCTGAAAAAGTTGAAAATAAAAAATGCCATGTGACCCAGTAATTGCTCTACTTAGTATATACCCTAATAAATAAGAGCCATAATACGAGTAGGTACATGCACTCCCATGTTCATTGGAGCATTATAAACAATAGCAATAAAATGGACTCAACCTAAAGGCCCATTCGTTGAAGAAAGCATGAACAAATAAATTTTAGTACATATACATAATGGAACACAATGCAATCTGAAAGAGTAACAATGAATCTGCAAAACACCTAACTTATGTGAACCTGGAAGACATTAAGCTGAGTGAAATTAGTCAATCACAAAAGGACAGATATATGAAACCACTACTATACAGAGTCAAGAGAAGATTCCCACACTAAAAGAAACATACTCTGATGGTTACCAGGGTTGGGAGGAAAGGGGGAGTAATTCAGTCACTGTCTGAGTGACAGTAGACACATGCTACTTTGGTGATGGTGACTGCAATATACAATAAGAGGCAGGTTGGCAGAAGAACGATGAAGGTATGGAAAGATATAGGAAGGAGTCTAACAGAGGTAACAGAGGCAAACTTTGTTATATATACACAGTTCTGCAATAATGGTAACCTAAGATGTACAGCCTCGGAAACCCTGTACAGGGTCGCTATGAGTCGGAACCGACTCCACGGCACATAACAACAACAATAACAACAAGGTACATACATGGATAGACACACAGGTTGAACAGAAAGAGTGGAGTATACAAATATATAAAGGTTTGACAGGATTTTTGTACATGTTTATTTTTGCTGCAAACACATTCATTAATGTGGTGGAACGTACAAGGGGCAAAGTTATGAAAAGTTCTTGTTATTGTTGTTGTTGAGTGTTGTCAAATAGGCTCCAACTCATAAGGACACTACACAGGCTTTGGAGTTCTAGTGTGGTGCTGTGGGTTAATGTGCTGAATGCGCTGGACTTCAAAGTCACTTTGAACCACAAGGTTGGTGGTTCAAGCTCACCAGCTGCTCCTTGGAAATCCTATATACGGTCACTATGGATCAGAATGGACTCAATGGCACTTTACAATAACAACAACATAGGTTTTCCGAAAGTGGCTGGTGGGTTTGAACCACTGGCCTTACAGTTATCAGTCCAGTGCTTGTCCTAAAGTGTCATGCCAGGATTCCCTGAAAACTTCTTAGCTATTATGAAACACTTGGAGGGAAAGAGGCGCTGGACCTAGGGGATCAAGACCATAGTCTCAAGGAATACCATGATCAATTGACATAAAACAGTCCAGAAAGACAATGGTCTACATCCTACTTTGTTGAGTAGTGACAGGGATCTTAAAAGCTTATGAGCACCCATCTAAGATGTGACTATTGATCTCTTCCTGTCTGGAGGAAGAAGAGTGATGAAAATTGAAGTTGTTTGGAAGTGATTAGTCCAGTGGTCTAAAGGACCACATGAAGACCAATTTCCACGACCCTAAGACTAGAAGAGCTAAGTGGTGCCCAGCTACCACACCACCAACTGCTCTGAAAGGGATCACATTAGAAGGTCTTGGATACAGTAGGAGAAAATGTGGAACACAACTCAAAATCATAAAAAAGTCCAGGCTTACTGATCAGTTAGAGAATGGTTGAACTCCAAGATCATGTTCTCGTTCATTCTTCAGGTCTGTAACTAACTTGCCTGTGTGCCTCAATTTTCATCCAAGCAACAAACAGATGCCAACCATTCAAGATCAAAAGCAGCATTTACCCAAAGACAAATTTCAGAAGGTATGGGAAAAGAAGGAATAATAGAAACATGAAACAGGAAGAAGTGGGATAAGTGAAGTTACACTGCAATCACTGAAAGGAAACAAAGTAGGATTTGTTGAATGTAAAACTGATGATCTGTTCTGTGAACTTTCACTGAATCCACAATAAAAAATTTTAAAAATCTGTAAGTAGCATATAGACCTGAATTGTTTGTCTCATACTGATAACAACATCAACTGGAACTGCTTAATCAAAGCTACCCTGCTATGGCATGCCAATCCCGTTACCACTATCTACAGACAAGTTTCATGGCATAGAAGAGCTGTTAGTAAGGATTCCATCTTTCCAATGAAAGGAAAAATACCTTCATATTTCCTTCAAACTGGCACCCCTTCTGCCCTCTTTATATTGATTTTCTAAAGGCAGTTTCATTTTCAGTTTACCAGAACAAAGACTTTCAAGACAGAAGAAAAAAACATTTACATTTAGAAAAGACAAATCTGTTTCAGTGCTTACTTGGCATTCTTCCAGTCTCCCAAGGCAGTGGCGTCAACACATAGCCATCTTTATATGCAATAATAGTTAAGCTGAGCCCTAGTTTATAGGGTACTTTTATCAACACTGCTCCATTTTTTTTAGTTACTGTGGAATTTGTCTTCGTGTAGTTTACAAACACTTCTACAACAGCTTGATTCAGGTACTGACGACTAATGATGTCATTCACCTGGACCTTCAGCATAAACACAGATACTGGAAGGAAACAAAAAAGCCACATGTGAGATCCTACAATGCATATGCCACTGTGTTTTAAAATGTCATTCAATATATCTGAATAACAGACGAGTTGATCAATTTAGGAAATGCATACTCTATAGAAAAAGAAAGTAAAAACATTCCAATAAATTCATTACCCTTCATACTAAAACTAAAATAAAACTGAATGTTTATCATTGATAAAGCATTTTTTCTGCCAATTAAGTGAAGAGAAAAATTAAAGCAGGGAATAATAAAAAGATAGAAGTTTGTTGTTGTTTTTTTTTTTTTTCAGGAATATTAATTTGTATTTCCTCTCAGAAACCCCATACAGGATCACTATGAATTGGAATACACTCAATGGCCCTTAACAACAACAACAACAATGCTAGCACTGGAGTCCTACTGTGGTGCTGTAGGGGAAGTAATGTTATCAAACACTAGTCTCTGTATGTTGTTAAGTGCCGTTGAATTGGTTCTGATCCACAGCGACCCTGTAGAGGGTTTCCGAGGAGCAGCTGGTGAACTTGTAGTTCAAACCAACTTTACAGCCCAGTGCATTAACCCACAGTGCCACACCAGGACTCCTTCATTTCTGGATAATGAATTGTAAATATATTATTTGGTATATTTACTGGTGGTAGTGGTGGCTGTGTGCCGTGGAGTATGTTTCAACTCATAGTGACCCTATGTAACGTTTCTGAGGTTGTAAATCTTTACATGAGTAGATGCTTTGTCATGCACCCATGAAAAGGCTGGTGGACTTGAACTGCTGACCTTGCAGTTAACAGCCCAACATAAAATTCACTATACCACCAGAGCTCCCTAACAATAACAGAGCTCTTGTTATTGTTAAGGCTTGCAAGAAGCAGCTGGTGAGTTTGAACTACCGACCTTGTTGTTCAAACTGACCTTGTGGTTACCATTCCATTGCTTATCCTATAGCATCACACACTAGAACATCAAAAAGTTCTTAAAAACAAAATTAAATGATAATGGATACACAGGAATTATTTTTATTATTTTATAATTATTTTGTAAGTTTAAAAAATTTTCAAATTTAACAATTTATGAAAAGAGAGAAAACATTGTATCAATATATAAGGGTGAATAAAAAATTATCCACATTCTGGCTATCGAATTTATTTTAATCAACTTTTAGGAAAGACAAATTTTTTGTTGACGTAATTTCCTTGCTTTTCAGTACACTGTGTCCATCTGTCAACAAGATTTCCTTATTCCTTATAAAAAACGTTTTAGGCTCAGCTGTGAATGAGGAATGCACCCCCATCTTCACTTCATTTGAAGTGAATCTTTGTCCTTAAAGGGCTGCTTTCAGGGAACCAAATAGGTGAAAGTCCAAAGGATCAAGATCAGGACTATAGGGAGAATGTTTTAACACCTCAACAGGAAGCTTTTACCCAGTGTCAACAGTGTGGGCAGAGGTGTGAGGATGTGCATTGCCATGCAAGATCACAATGCCCTTGGATAGTGGTCCTCTGCATTTATCTGAAATATAGGCTTCAGGTCTTCAGTGAGCATCTCACTGTAGAGAGCACTATTGAGTGCTGAAACTTTTACCTTACAGTGTTCAAATACTGGCCCTTGAGAGTCCCAGAAAACTGTAAGCAACAATTTCCCAGCTTATGGTTGACTTCTGAACTTTTTCTTGATCGTTGGTTGAGGTTGTTTTCGTTCCATACTCTGCTGTTTGCTCTCAAGCTCTTAATGATGAATCCAAGTTTCGTCACCAGTAATGATTTTTTTTTTTAAAAGAAATTTTTACCTCTCTGAGTATCACTCCAAACTTTTGTTTGCAGATGTCCAAACGCTTCTGTTTATGCTCTTCTGTGAGCTGTTTTGGTACCCATCTGGCATAAACTTTTCAAAACCCAAGTCTGTCATGGATTATTTGATAGGCAGAGCAATGGCTGATTTGCAAATGATTTGCCACAATAATTAACTGACACTCATCAATGCAACAGAATCATTTCATGTGCATACTCAGTGTTGCCATCAGTCATGGACCTGGATGAGAGTTTTAATATAACCAGAGTGCGGATCATTTTTGACTCACCCTCGTTATGATGAAAAAGCGTTTGATGAAAATTTGCAGTTTTAAGTGCAATGTGATAAAATTCAAGTTCTAAATAAAACAAGAAAAAGAAACTATTTGAAATGATAGAATATCAAAAACCAAAAACAAACACCATTTTTAATTATAAACACTAAAGTCATTTGTATTAAAGTCTGAAATAAGATCGGATACCTGCTAACACCTTTATTTAACATTGCTGTAAAGGTTTAAGTGAAAACAATTAGACAATAAAACAAAATAGTATAAGCATTAGAAAGTAATGTATTATTTTGTTTTGCTGATATTTAACTGATATCTAGGAAATGATAATAATTATAACAAATGCTGTTGTTCGAGGTCCTCGAGTTGGTGCTGACTTGTAATGACGGTTTGCACAACAGGATTAAACAATGCCCGATCCTGGGGCATCCTCATAACTGTTATATTAGACCCACTGTGGCTGCCACTGTAGCAATCCATCTCATTGAGGGGGAGGGTCTTTTTTTCGTTGACCCTCCAATTTAGCAATTTAGGAAGCATGATGCCTGCCCTTCAATAAGGACTGGTCACTTCTGATAACACGTTTGAAATATGAGAGACAAAATCTAGCTTCTGAAAAACATTCTGGATATACTTCATCAAGAGAGATATTCGTTCTATTCACAGTCCATGGCATTCTTAGTACTCTTCTCCAACAACACAATTCAAATGTGTTGATTCTTTCATGGTCTACCTTATTCATTGTCCAGTTTTCACATGTATATGAGGTGATTGAAAATATCATGTCTTGAGTCTGG